GCCAGAAAGAAAACAATTCAAATATTATGAAGTTACAGTCAGGATCATACAAGATTTAACAGCTTCTACATTATAGAATCAAAGAGCTTGGGATATGATAATTCAGAGGGCAAAGTAGCTAGGATTACTACCAAGAATAACTAACACAGCACAACTGAATATAATGTTTCAGAGAAAAAAAGGATATTTAACGAAACAGAGGACCTTCAAGCATTCCTAATAAAAAGATCAGAGATGAATAGAAAATTTTACTTTCAAATATAAGACAAAAGCAACATCAAAAGGTAAACATAAAAGAGAAATCATAAGGGACATAATAAGGTTAAACTATTTACATTTCTATATGCAAAGATGATAAAAGTAACTATTAAGAACTTCATCATTATTAGAGAACACAGAAGGACTTGACATAGAGGGCATGCTAGTGAGTTGGTGTTGGGATGATCTTGAAAAAATAGATAAGTGAGAAAGATGGGTACACTGGGAGAAATGGGAAAGGAGAGGTATAATGGGAAATATTGTCACACATAGAAGAGACACACAAGGAAGAACTGTTACAATGGAGGGAAAAATGGTAGAGGTGTAGGTAACAAACTTCACTTTCATCTGAACTGGTTTAAAGAGGGAAGAACACACACACACACACACACACACACACACACACAAAACTGGGTATAAAAATCTATCTTATCCAAAAGGGAAGTAGGAAAGAAAGGCTGGTTGGTAAAAGGGAGGGCAGATTAAGGGAAGCAGTAGTAAAAAACAAAACAGGCTTTTGAGGAGGGAAAGTGTAAAAAGATATAGAGAAGGATAAAACAGAAGAAAATGGTTTGGAGAGAAATGTACAATAAGTAATTATAACTGAGAAAGTGAATGGGATGAATTCACCCATAAAACAGGAAACAATAGAATGGATTAGAAACTAGAATTCAACATGTTGTTTACCAAAAAAAAAAAACATACTTGGAAAAGAGAGATATATAGAGTTAAAGTAAAGGACTACAGCAGAATTCATTATGCTTTTGCTGAAGTCAAAAAGGCAAGGGTAGCAATCATGACCTCAGACAGGGCAAAAGCAAAAAGAGACCTAATGAAAAGAGATAAACAGGGAACCTCCATCTTGTTAAAAGGCACTATTAATGATGAAATAATATAAATACTAAATATATGTGCTCCAAATGACATAGCATCCAAATTCTTAGAGGAAAAGTTAAGTGAACTACAGGAGGAATAAGACAGTAAAATTAACTAGTGGGGGACCTCAACCTTCCCCTCTCAGAACTAGATAAATCTAACCATAAAATAAATGAAAAAGAAGCTAAGGAGACAAACAGAATTTTAGAATAGTAAGATATGATACACCCCTGGAAATTGAACGGGGAAGAAAAGGACCATCCTGTTTCTCAGTTATACATGGCACCTTCACAAAAACTGACTATGTATTAGGGCATAAAAAGCTCATGAACAAATGCAAAAAAGCTGCAATATTCAATGCACCCTTTTCAGACCATAATGCAAAAAATATTTTCAATAAAGTGCCATGAAAGTACAAATTAAAAAAAAAATCTAGAAATTAAATAATCTAATCCTAATGAATGAATGGGACAAAGAACAAGTCACAGAAAAACCCTAACAATTTCATTAAAGAAGATGACAATGAGACAACATACCAAAATTTGAGGAGTATAGCCAAAGTACACTTAGGGGAAAATTTATATCTCCAAACTCATACATCAAATATAAGAGATAAAGAATAGATCAATGAATTGGGTTGCAATTAAAAAAAAACAGAAAAAGAACAAATAAAAATCCCCAATAAAATGCAAAGATAGAAATCCTGAAAATCAAAGGAGAAATTAAAAACATTGGAAAAGGAAAAAAAAAATAGTTAACCAATAAATAAAACTAGTAGCTGGCTTTATGGGAAAAAAACAAAAAGTAACCCATTGGTTAATTTTATTTTTAAATAAGAAAAAAGGAAATCAAATTATCAGAAAGAAAAATGAAAAAGGTGAATGCAACATCGATGAAGATGAAATTAAAGCAATTTGTCTAATTCCAATGCAATAAAACTGACAACCTAGATGAAAGTGATGGATATTTACAGAAATATAAATTGCCTAGATTAACAGAAGAGAAAATAGAAAATTTTAAATATAAGTAACCTTATCTTAGAAAAAGAAATCAGACAAGCCATAAACAGGCTGCCTAGGAAAAAATCTCCAGGACCAGATGGCTTTAAAAATGAATTCTATCAAACATTTAAGGAAAAATCAATCCAAAACTCTTTAAAGTCTTCGAAAAAAATAGGTAAAGGAGTCCTATCAAATTCCTTTTATGACACAAATACTGTTTTGCAGCCTAAACCAGGATGAGTAAAAACAGAAAAGGAAAACTACAGATCAACTTCTCTAATGAGTACTGATGCAAAAAATTTACATAAAATACTATCAAGGAGATTGTGGCAATAAATCTCAAATACTATGACCAGGTGGGATTTACACCAGGAATGCAAGGCTGGTTGGAAAGTATTAGTATAACTGACTCTGCCACAACTAGAATATTCTAAAATGCCAACAACAAACATGAATTAAAAATTTAAATACACAGAAAAAAAAGGAGATCACAAGACAACATGGCACTTTGGCTGAGAATCCTGGGGGAAGGAAGGTATCACAACGAATAGTATTTGACTATTGTGCTAATTATATCTCAAGCTATAATGAAGCTTTCCATTTTAAACCTATTAACAGTAAAGTGAACATTTAAAATGAACAGAAATATGACCACTCAAAAAACCCAAATTCCAAATTTATAGTAAATGCTTTAAGTACTACCCATGTTAGGAAGAGGAGCCATTTTCATTTTAAGGAGGATGGGGAGTGACAAGACAGCTTGCCCTGTTGACCTCGCATTGGCTCAACTTTGAAAAGTCTGAGGTCTGGGGAAAACACTCCCACACTCCCTCACTGTGCTTCTGGCCACCAGCTGCTTCTAAGAGAAGTGAAAAGGCGACGTCATAACAGCCACCACCTCTTCTCAATGAAAAGAAGTGAATAAAAGAAGATCCGTCTTTGCTACTGTGTAATCTCGGGTGAGGCACTTCATTTCAGTGTCCTAATATGTAAAACGAAAGCATTACGCCAAGTTGTTTAAAGGCTCCTTCTGCCTCTAAAATACTATGATTTCCTCATCAGGAATGTTCTTGCTCTCTGTCCCCTCATTCCCTGCTCCATCTAGGTGCTCTCACTGATTTCCACACGCAAACTCAAGGGAGATGAGGCTGTGTGCTATTTTTCCTTTACCAGTTTCCCTATGGCTCAAATTTCTTTCTTCAAGTTGAACCTTTTTGCTAGATTAGTGGCCTAAATTTTGATCCAGTCACTTTTTCTGGGCTCCTGACCAACTCCTGTGGTTGATTCTTTCCAACTTTCTCAGCATCTGCTACACCTCCTTAACTATTCTCTGGTTGATACTTCTGCTTACTTCTCTACTCTCTTGGTCAAGCTTGACCTATTCTAACATCTGTATACCTGCTTCTTTCACTGGCTCCTAAACACACCATCCAATTCTCCTCAGTCTAGCCCCTTGCCCTGTGTCTATAACCTCTGCCACTCATCTCTACTTCTGCAAGACTATCAATCTTTAATTTATTGTGGATATAAATAAAAGATAGGGAAATATAGCTTTTGAGGCATGAAGATAAATGAGAAAAAATGCTAACTTATCTTGCTCTGCAATGTAAGTTATACAGCATGAACATGGTACTTGGTAAAAGTTTTATTTCCCAATGCACTGACCATAAAGCTCTAACACCCAGTTCATTCATTACCTCAAGTTCCATCATGATAACTAATCATCCTAACTTAGGAATTCTCTCTAAACCAAAGATTCTTAACCTAGGGTCCATGGACCACTACCAAGGGGTTTGCAGATGGATTTCAGAGGGTCCATGGACTTAGATGGGGAAAATTGCATCTTTATTTCAATATAATTGGTTTTTGATATAACTGCATATGTTTATCTTATGTATTTAAATACAATATTCTAAGAAGAGGTAGATAGGTTCCACCAGACTGTAAAAGGAGTCCATGATAGAAAAAATTAAGAATTCTTACAGTTGCCAATGTGTTGAAAACAAAAAAAATAATTTTAATGTATTAAACCTTCTTTTACTGAACAGACACTTAGAAAAAATGTTCCTGTTGAAGAAGGGACTAAATATTTGGTCTTCACTGCAAGAATTTTATTTTTGATTAGTGAAAGTAAGTAAGGGTGGTTAGAAGAATATCAGAATACAATGCCAGGCAGTACAACTTCCGCATTGTTTCTACTGCAGTTAAAGAGTTGAACATTGTTGGAAAATGTGGCAGTGAGAGGTGATGAATTTAAGTGGCTTGGATTGAAATGGGCCACTCTGGACAGCCCAAAACAAAAATGCAACCAACATATTTTTCCACTTTATGGCTGTCACATGACTGTGATTAATGCACCAGTAGAGCCCAAGAATAGTTTCAGTACAGTGGTAAGTGATCTTGGGCTTTCAGGGCCAAAAGTCTAATTTCTCATATGCAATGAATCTGACTTTTAAATTCTGGTTTCCAAACTTCTGACTGTGAATTCTACAGAGGAATAAATTAACATAGCTAGGGCAAATCTTTTAAATCCTGTGTAGGATATTCTAATTTACAACATATAATAATCATTAATTCCACAGAAACATGAAAGGCTTTTTTTTTTGTATTTGTAATAGAAAAAGAGAATCACAGATTTAGAACTAGAGGGGTCCTCAGAGGTCTAATCCAACTGCTTCATTTTACAGATAAGGAAACTGAGGTCCAGGGAGGTTAACTGACTTGCCCAAGGTCACATGGCTAGTGTTAGGAGCAGGATTTAAACCCTTGTGCTCTGATTCCAGAGTGTCCACTGTACCCTAGTGCCTCTAAATTAGTGCTCTACTACTGTTAATCAGCTATATTTGAACTACTTGAACCACCAACCTGCAAATATTGTTGACGGAGTCTTCAGGACAGTGATGGTGGCATTTGCATTGCAAGACCTTTGGCCGAGGGGTAGGGGCTGTGATCACACCGTCTTCCTTCTTGCTGTCCACGTTCAACTTTGCCGAACTTCGCAAAAGCATATTGTCAAGGAAATTAGCTATAAAGGAAGAGCAATATATGTATATATATATATATATATATATTTTTAGATCTATGGAGAGTTTCCAGTGGTATCTACCAAAAAAAAAAAAAAGGAGAAGAAGCTTAAGGTACATAATTTTTTGAAAGTAGTCTGTGGTCAGTATTCATTCATATAATTCAAATTGAGAGATTTTATATAAAAAAAGGTCACTATTGTTTGAAGAATGAGTTTTTCCACATGGGATAAAGTTTCATAAAGTATACAAAAATTTGCATAATCATTTCAATCTAATCTTCTATATTTTAATAATTACATAGAAAATATACAGCAAGAAATGATGACAAAATAATTTTCTGCCCCGTATTTCATTGAGAGGCCAAAACCCCAATTGTTTACCAGTAACTAGGTAGCAAGTCGATAAAGTGCTCGGGAAGACCAGAGTTCAAATTCTGCCTCAGACGCTTATTAGCTGGGTAACCTGGGCAAGGTTCATATTCTCCCTGGTCCTCAGTTTCCTTTCTATTAAGTGGGAATCATAATAGTCTCTATCTCCCAGAATCCTTGTGAGGATCACAAGACAGCATTATGTTAATCAATTTGGCAACTTTACACCACTATAAAAATCCTAGCTCCTAACATTATCCTCATCCAGATATGTATCATTCTTGGCAGCTGTTGCAAACAGGAACATATACCTACTGTAACAGCTGACAGTGGCAATCCTTTTATTTGGGGTAGGGAGTAGACATTCTTCCTTAAAACAGGAAAAGTAAAATTACAATGGGATAAAATGGAGCATAACAATGGAATGACACATCACCAAGATACAAGCCAAAGAGGGTAGCAATAATAACAACATAACAAAAAGCAGAAACTTTTACATCTTCTAAATAATATGATCAATCCAGTTAGACATTTTCCTTTTTCTGGTGGAGTTGAATTAAAGCCCCAGACCTGGATTCAAATTCTAGGTCTTGTACCATGGACAGCTCATTTCATCCCTGGTATTGTGTGCTCCTCTGTAAAATGAGTTTAGATTTGATGGTCCCTACCAGATTTAAGCTCACAAAACTTTAAGACTGACAATACTTCATCCAAGGACCTATGGATTTGGCATCGAAAATTTGCCATACTTTAACTATAAAAAATCAAAACTTTGAATTAAAGCACAACAACTGGATTTTATAAAGCCACAGATACTTCTTGCCAATTGCCCCATCAAACAATGATAAGTATTGGAAGATGTACTGAGAATTTTGAATGCTGTTCAAGTTCTTTCACGTATGAAAAGTTTTACAACTAACTACAATACAGAGCTAATTAGTAAAATGAAGGAAAAAATAAGTCAAATACGACAGTCACTTTCATACAAATTCTTATTCCAGCCCCACCTAGGATTTCATTTGCCAAATTCAAACAAAATATCCAGGGACCAATTTTCTCTAGCCTTCAACTTTCTCCTATTATTCTTTAAATAGGAATCTCATCCCTCAAAGTGACCATTTGACCTTTGTCCATTCATCGACCAGGATGACTGAAATACGACATACATTCTATCTCTGAAGATTTTCATTCAACAGTTCCATCCACTTCTCCATCATCTTCTAATTAAAGCTCCTCCCCCCAACCCACAACTTTCCAAATACATAAAATTACAATTTCATATTCAGAGAATAATAAATCTAGAGCTAGAAGTGATCTCAGAGGTAATCTACTGTAACCTGAGGCCCAGAGAAAGTAAACGACTTGCCCAAAGTCACAAAAACAATACCTGACCTAAGAGGTGCTTATGCAAGTCCATGGAGTTCAGAGGTCTTCAGTACTCTTTCCACTGTACCAAATCATCTTTACATTTTTTATTTTGTTTAACAGTATTGTCACAATATTTTTTACCAATAGACTGAAAATGAACAGAATTTTACCTATGTTACAAATTAACTGGGCTTTTATAGGTTAACTAGTCACCATTTATAACCACTTTACATTAGTTTAAATGAAAAAAAAATTAATTCCAATTGACTTGCAAATGAATATTTACAGCATAATTCATCTGTAATTTCTAGGATCCTTTTACAGATTAACCTCTTCATATCACATTTAGTTGAATTTAACAAATACTTATTAGGTACTTAATAAGTTCAAGTTCAAGGCAATATTCTAGGTTGTAAGGAAACAGCCCTGACTCAAGGAACCCATAAGTCTAATGTTCTCTAGATCCAGGCAAATACAGAGATTCTACATATCAACCATTTGAGTGTGAATTGGAAGTTCCTGACTCCTGAACCAAAACAGGTAAATAAATAAATAAAACCTAAGTAAGCCTATTTATATCATTATATCTGAAATTCAGAAATTTTATCATGTAAATACAGATGGCAGTACGATAAGAAAATGGATTCTTGCAATATTATGGCATACATTGACTTTCTTTCAAATAAAAAATTGATAAAGGTGGTAGATGCTCGCTGCCACAATTAATACCTAGAAACTGTGGTTTGTTTGGTTTTTTTTAAATCAAAATGTAGACTGGTGCAGAGAGGTTAAGAAATTTGCTCAAGATCACATAGGTAATGAGTGTCAGAGGTGACATTTGAACCCAGGTTAAAACAAAAGTGTTCCATAACCTACTATTCTATCCACTGATCAGTGATTTTTATAACTCATAAAACATTCTTTAAATTGTTTTCAGAATTTAAAAAAAGAGACTAAATCCATTTTTCTCCCAAGAAAGCTGTTTTCTAAATAAGAGGAAAACATCAGCAATTCCATAGAAAAAGTTTTTATACTTGAGAGATCACAGAACAGAGGAGTTTGAGGGCAGCTGTTTGATAACTGAGAAAAGTTTTACAACCCTGAGTGTACTTTCCTAAGCAGAAGGCAAAGCACATATGTGGAAATAAGTATATGTGTGCATGTTTATGAATGAAAATTTCTTTTCTTTTGTTTCCAACTATATCTATTCTCTACCCAGTGATTGAGTCAAACAAAGAGAGAAAAATATTTTTAAAATTTGCTATTTCTCCATTAAATAAAAGCTTAGAGTTATTTAAGACATAATGAAAAACTGGGTTGTGTGTTTTAATTTTCTGATTTTTAAAACATTAATGACAAAGAAAGGTAGGGCAGTAAAGAGCCTTAAAGTCAGGAGTTAGAAGGCCCAGATCCAGGATAATGGACTCAGAAATTGCAGAGTTTGACAGAAACTCAGAGGACTGAGAAAGAATTTCTTCTACAAGATCCCTGACAAGAGGTCATCCAGCCTCTGACTTGGAGTGGAAGACCTGGGTTTAAAACTTCATCCAGACAGTTATTACCATGTATCACTGGGCAAGTTACTTAACCTCTCTGTGTCTCAGTTGCCTTATTTGCAAAATAACTGGGTTGGACTTGGTGGTCACTGAGGTCTCTGGTATGAACCCATGATGCTGAAGCACACTGTTTCACACTTGTACAGCTTTAATTTTTATAATATCCATCTCTTGCTCAACCTGAAATTTGCCTCCCATGAGTCCTGGTTCCACCCAGTGGCATTAATAATTAATCAACAAGCAGTTATACACCAGACACTGTACAAAGTGCTAGGGTTAAAAAGATAAAATGAAACAGTCTCCTGCCCTGATGCAGCCTACACTGGTTGATGGAGATAACACATACACACACACACACAAGTATTAAAAAACAGACTGACAAATATCTAAAGGCAGCAATCATGCTCTTCTCCGAACATTGTTTTTCTACTCTATCTTAACATCTGTACTTCTATCAACCAATTGTTTGATGGCATGGGCTCGAGTGCTCTCAATAAAAGTTGCCCTCCTATAGAAATAGTTTTAGAGTTCTTACTAAAAATATGGTGCCCAGGGGCAGCTAGGTGGTGCAGTGGATAGAGCACCAACCCTAAAGTCAGGAGGACCTGAGTTCAAATCCGGCCTCAGACCAAACACTTGACACTTACTAGCTGTGTGACCCTGGGCAAGTCACTTAACCCCAATTGCCCCCCAAAAAATAAAATAAAATAAAATATGGCATCCAGAAACAGACACAATACTCTAGAATTACTATACTTGTCCATATATGGTATTACCAAGGCTGAGGATGTGGATGTGTGGATCCCTTGTTCTGGAAGCTAGGCTTCTTTTAATGAACCTTAAGAAAACATTAGCCTTTATGACCATCTTCAATCGATCAGTCAACAAGCATTTATTTAGTGATTGCTATGGATTGGGCACTGGGCTAGGAACTGAGGATACAAAGGCAAAAGCTAAGCAGTCTCAATTCTGTGGAGCTTACAATATATCCAGAGGAAACAGCTTTTAGATGTGTAGGAATATACAAAATTTACATATGGTAATTTGGTCTGTTTTGGGGGGTGAGGCACTCAGAGTTTGGGGTGGAGGTTAGGAAAGGCTTCATGTCCAAAATGTCATTTGAGCTGAATTTTAAAGGAAGTTAAACATTCTAAAAGATGGAGGAGAGGACAGAGTGCATTCCAGGCATGGGGGAAATACAAGGTTGTGAGATAAAAGTAGCTAGCATTTACATAGTGCTTTATGATTTACAAAGCACTTTATAAATATTACCTTATTTTATCCTCACAACAAACCCCAGAGACATAGGGACTGTTATTATCCCCACTTTACAAATGAGGAAATTGAGGCTAAGTGAGGTTGAGTGCCTTGCTAGGGTCACTCAGATAGTAAGTGCCTGAGGTGGGACGTGAACCTTGTTCTTCCTGACTCCAGGTCTAGTCCTCTCTCTCCACTGAGTTACTGAATGAAGGAACCTGGAATGGAACATGTGAGGAACACCCACAAGGTAGTTCGGCTGGATCATAGTGTTATGCCAAAGAAAATAAAGTATATTCAGGATGGAAACATGGGTTGGTGCCAAGTTGAGAAAAATGTTAATGCTAAAGAGAAGAGTTTATATTTGATACTAGAGGTAATAGACAGCTCTTGCTGTTTACTGAATGGAGAGAGGATTGATATGGTCAGACCTTCACATTACGAAAATTG